AGGCTTGAGCCTGGAGCTGACCATCCCCAGGAAAGGGGCCACCCACAGAGCCCCCGCAGGCCATGGCCAGCACTGGGGGGCATGAGACTCGGGGTGCACAGCCCAGCAGGGAACTGCGGCTCCTGCCTGCCTGTCATCACAGCGCCCTGACGGCACTCCCTGGACAGCCCGGCCCCTGGGCGCGGTGACCCCCCTCACCTTCAGGTTTGCCGAGCACAGCTTGAATCTTTGTGGATTTCCCTGGCAGATGTGGGAAGGCTGTTCGCTCCGACCCCCCACCGGTGGGCTGAAGGGCTTTGTTCCAGAGAGAGCCCGGTGGCCGGCATCCAAGGTGCCCCTAAAGCACCCCACAGAGCCCCTGGGGGACGGGCCGGTGCCCCCTGGAGGGAGGGCAGAGACCCAGGCACCACCAAAAGCAGGTCCTAGCTCCTGTCTGTTCTGGCTCAACTGCTCCCACACTTTTTGCCTTGCGCTCCACCCTTTAGAGGTGTCTGCTTTACTCTGAAAATAGAGTTATAAAATGCATCGCATTTAATTCCTACAACAGTTAAATAATTTCCCCCAAAATCCTCAAGGAAAACGCAGGACGACGTACTTTGTCTCATGGCTCCAGGAACAGCCACATGAGGAGAGCTTAGGCGCTTAGCTTACCGTATGCCCGACCCGCGCTTAGCACTCTGCATGCATTAACCCCATTCCGCGCTCCAGGCCTTGGATTATCGCCATTATACAGATTAGGAAACTGAGGCTCCCAGAGGTGAAGCAACTGGCCCAAGGTGGAGTTAGGTCCACAGGAAGGCGCTTTTTCTGAGCTGAGTCCTTCATTAGCCCCTGTATGACCTTGGGAAGCTGAATTCGCGTCTCTGAGCCTCATTTCCTCATCTGTAAGATGGGGGGGCATGACAATACCTTCCTTACAGGGTGGCTAGAAGGGACAAACTGGATTTCTCACCCCTCCATCCATCCAACAGTCACCGAGCACTCCCAGCGGGCCAGGCCCTGGGCTGGACTGAGGCTACATACAGGGACCAGATGCAGGTCCTCTCAGAGGCACCCAGACCAGGTGGGCCCCCAGCTGTGCAGGGCCCTGATGCGGACCCCGGCCTGACATCTGTCCGCCTCCAAACTGTGACTGCCAGGGGGACCGGAAACGCGCCCGGCCGATCTGCCCTGTGTCCTAGCGCCTGTGGGCCTGGCACGAGACAGGGGTCCCGCGAACACGTGCGGAGTCAGGGAGTGAGGGTGGCCAGAGGGCACGGGGCCTCCTGCCCTCCGCCCACAGCTGGCTGGTCCTCCTTCCCCAGCCACGCAGGGAGCAGGGCCCGGGAGGGCCGCCGGCTCCTCTCTGTCGTGACGGCTGCTCTTAGTTTTAATTGAGATGCTGTCCCGCTCGGGCCCAGCGAGGCCTCGGCACAGGCAGCCTGGAAACAATAACCGCCCGACGTGGGCACGTGGGCGACGGAGCCGCGGAGGGGGCCAGGCCCGCGGCCGGCGAGGCT